CAGCAACCCACGCTTGCCGTAAAAGGCGACTATGCTTGTCGTAAAAGGCGACTAAAGGGATCGGGTGGTCAGTCTCGCTGACTTGGTTGATGCATGTCATCGGTCCCAATTGCGTTGATCGATGCTAGTGATATTAATCACTGGATTGTCTGGTCCAGACTCGATTATTTACAGACCGCCGTCATATAGCAGAAATTTTGCTGAGTGCGGCGTTAAACAACAAACCAACCAACCAACCAAATCCTTGACATGACCGCTACACGCTCAGATTCTCTGGTCTTCTCACATTGTTCATGGAGAGCATCGTCGTAGTTAGCCAATGTGACCATCCGGTTCATCGAGTCGACCGCGGCTTCGATGCGTCTCTACCCGTGAACATCCGGGTTAGAATTGGTCTTCAGCAACCCATGCCTGAAGAAAGAGCCGACTACAAGGATCGGGTGGTCAGGCTTGTTGACTTGGTTGATGCATGTCATAGTATCCCAATTGCGTGGATCGATGCTCATGGTGTCACTCAATGGATTGTCTGGTCTATACTCGATTATTAACAAACCGCCGTCATATAGCTACGTGCGGCGTTAAACAACAAACAAACAAACAAACAAACAAACAAACAAAATAAATCACCCATATGTCAGCCAAGACGGCATATCAGCCTGAAGGGGGCACGGGTGGCCCAGACGTCTAAGGCGCAGCAATTCGCTGTGCAGAGTTGCGTCCGTTGGCCACGCCAGAAACCTATGATTGCGGGTTCGAATCCCGGTTCGCCCCGATTATGTTTCTAGGTTTGTCAGCACCATACCCGTGCTCGTGGGTTTCACCCAAGTGGTAAACGTCTGAGACCTGCATCTCGTCGGGCTTTCCTCCTACATTAAGCTGACACGCCGCGATATAACTGTAATAATGTTAAAAGCGGCGTTAAACTCAACTCACTCACTCACTCACCAGCCTGAAATAGGTAGTTAATCCTTGTATCGCTGTAATTTCAACAATATGACATAAACGCAGAGCTGAGTTACGAAGATAGGTTCCAATATTTAATTTACACGACAAAGGCAAGTAAGACTTTTTGTCATTTTTTCAACACACACACTCTTAAAGCGTAATTACCCGGAGGACTTGCTCAGTGACCTCCGTACTAGTTCCCTAACGGCTGATTACTGGGTCAATCTGTGACAATAGATTCTATCACGGTTACCTGTTGACAGGCCTCCTTGTGTAACACCACTGACCGTCGCCGTGCTGGAAACGCCCTCAGTGGGCTATTGGTGGTCTTTGTCCGACAGTGATGTGTCAATGGGGTGTTTCAAACACTACACTGATATTATAAACAGTCCATCGTTCTCGAAGGGTACAAAGTGTAAAGCAAGCCGTACCTACACTAGGACCTGTGGGCACAGACTTACACACATGGTACATCACACCACATATCCTGAAGGCCGCCTCCGTGGTCTAGTGGTAGACGTCCGCCAAGAGAGCGGTAGGTACGGAGTTCGATCCCCGGCCGCGTCGTACCAAAAGACGTTTAAAGATGGTACTTGTTGTTACCCTGTCTGGCGCTCGTCATAAAGGGGCTAAAACAAGGACTGGTCGGCTGGGAGTCAGTATATTGTGTCTGAGTGGGGTATCCATGTTAAACTGCGGCATGGTATCTCAGTGAGCTAGCACTATAAATCGGCATCAGTCCGGACTAGTACAAGCAGCCACACACACGCACACGCACACGCACACACACACACGCACGCACACACACACATGCACGCACACACGCACGCACGCACACACGCACGCACGCACACACACATATGAATGCACGTAGCGCGCACGCACACACACACACACACACACACACACACACGTGAATGCACGTCGCTGTACAAGTGCAGTAATCTTGGACGCGACGTTAAACCCCATTTCACCTCACCTCTCATACGAATTATCTTACTGGGATAGTTTTCGCCCTAAAATGTCTTCATCGTTATGGCCAGCAACAAATCGTTATAAATACACACCCACTTACATTACAATCGGGTGATACGTCCGTTAGAATTGGTCTTCGGCAACACATTCTTGTCATAAGAGGCAACTAACGGGATCGGGTGGTCAGGCTCGCTGACTTGGTTGATGCATGTCATCGTACCCTAATTGCGTAGAATGAAGCTCATGATGTCAATCACTGGATTGTCTGGTCCATACTCGATTTTACAGACAGCCGTCATATAGCTTGAATATTGCTGTGTGTGGCGTTAAATAACAAACAGACACTCGGGCATACTCGGTTTACTTCGCTTAAGTGCATTTGATATGTGTTCAGTTTCAAGATACTATTATCATGTCACTGTATTCGCAATGATAAGAGGTCCGGCATATCCCTGCCGGCGATATGAACTGCCTTATATGTAGGCAGGGTTCATTGGCAACATTGACTGTTCAATGACCAATCAGAGATGAGCATCTTCATATTGTCATATTACTCCATTGGAGAGTTACAAAGAGGGAAACATGGGAGAATTACAAGGGTAAACATGAGATTTATAATTTCAGGAAATAGTTATGTTAAGGTTGGTTGGTTGGTTTTTGTTTAACGCCACACTCAGCAATATTCCAGCTTTACGACGACGGTCTGTAAATAATCGAGTCTGGACCAGACAACCCAGTGTTTAATATCATGAGCATCGATCCACGCAACTGGGATCGATGACATGCATCAACAAAGTCAGCAAACCTTATTGACATTTTTGTGTCTGCAGAAATCACTTCGAAAGTCTGCAAGTCACAGACTGAGACACATTGAACATACTGGCCATCTCTAGCGGAGTTCTACCAAGCCCTTAGGTGTTCATCACTTTGTAGACGAGGCATTCCAAATCTGATCACAAATACTGCATCACAGAGAGAGGAGTGAGCTTACATGTGACTGTGGATAATACAATTCAACAATACGGATGGTTCTGGGCGATTTGACGACCTGTCATAAAAGTGTCGAGATCACGAATGACCTATATTTGTGTTGTACATATACTTTACCTATACTTAAAAGGTAATATTAACGTGGGACTTTGTATACACACCAGTCAAGTGTTGAAAGTGCATTTTTTACTTTTCGGTGTTTGTCTTTCCAAGGAAGCATAAGCTGTTTAATATTGTTATATGTATATTATGTTAACTTCGGGACGACCTTTGCTTTAGAGGAATTTAAGAAATATATATAGTTTGGGTTTCCTGGGCAACGTGTTGGACATATCTTCAACACATAAGCTTTCAATATTAATTTGAAACTTGGAACCAAAGTCAGATAAGTGCTGAACTTGTGCCTTTTGCTATATATACTTTAAGATTTTCACTTCCACGACAAAACCAAATATTGGTTCAAATGTAGATTCGTTTCAGTAACATAACTAAACAAAGGTTTGTAACTTCTCTTTTAAAAAAGTAAATACTGTTGAACTGGTGGTTTATTTGGTTATTCAGGAATTTAAAACTTCCCATTTTCCCCTCCGACATTTCAACTCAGGATTGTTTGTGTGTCCAATGGCTAACGTATACCTCTGTCAATATTTCATCTACGAAATGTTAGATTTATTATTTAATTGCTTCACATCGTGGGAACTAGGCAAGTTAAGTTAAAAGTAAGTTGTCTTTGTTTCAGGATTATAGCTCTCAAGACTTTCTGTTTGCTTTGGGGGATATGCGTGTCGAGATATTGGAGCGTTTTGCGAGAACGTCCACAACATACTTTAGTCACAGTTGTATTCCGGGATCACGGAATATGTTAAATTGCAGAAATGCCCACTCCGGCATGTACCGATCTTGCAGAAAATTCTGTGCGGAAATCATGCAGAATTTTGCATTTATCTACCGCAGAATTCGCCAAATACACTGCAGAATTTAACACGTGAGTCGAAAGCTGGTTTTAAATTAAATATGTAAACGGATATTCATTTGTTTTGAAATGAAGTTGCCTTTTGTATTATTGCTTACCGAAAGTGAATGTCTGTATGTTTACAGATTCACTTCGATAGACTTTTCTTTTCCGTGGATAGGTTTAAAATGAAAATTCCTGCCAAAAGTCAAACAACGAAACAACGAAATTCACGAAATATCAGCTTAAACGTTTGAATTGTGTGCAGAGTTATCATAAAGTGGTTGGAGAATTTACAAAAATTGACCGCAAAATATATATTTTTTGGCTGCGGAATATAGAGGGGACGGTTTCATACACTAAGTAACTAGCAAGGTGGCAGCCATTACTGTGTGGGTAATTTCAACCACATCACATTATCTTCAACCATTTCACAAGGCCTCCCTAGTAAGGGTTGAGTGTTATTAACCTACTGAATACCAAAGTGTAGTCCACAATTAAAGAAATGTTTCCATTCTTGTGGGGGCGGGGGCTGTATGAACAGAGGAATTTTCCAAAAGTCAACTTTCCATTTATCTCAAGCAAGATTTCTACGTATATTTCAAAGCGTGTCGTACGACTCTTGCTCAGAAGTTGTTTGATCAGGGGCACGGGTGGCCCAGTCGTCTAAGGCGCCGCGATTCGCTGTGCAGAGTTGCGTCCCTTGGGCACACCAGAAACCTATGATGGTGGGTTCGAATCCCGGCTCGCCCCGATTATGTTTCTAGGTTGTCAGCACCATACCCGTCCTCGTGGGTCTCACCGAAGTGGTAAACGTCTGTGACCTGCATCACTTACTTCGGGCTTTCCTCCCACATTAAGCTGACGATATAACCCAACTCACCCACTTACTCCATTCTTGTCGTTTTCAAAGCGTTCATAAAATCACAAAGACAGTAATGTATATTTTATGTTTGACATAAATGGACTATCACTGCAGTGTATTTATCATATCTGTAAGTAAAACGGAAACTACGTTAAAAAAAGATACGTTTAAAGATATTGATTCATTTTTAATTCCATTTATATGTTGATTAAACTGAAAATCCTCGAAGCCGTTCCCTTTCCTTTTGTTTTCACCAATCACACAGAGTTGTCGCTCTTGTGCTTCCGGCAGACCATGTGGTTAAGATGGCGGCTCCCAGTGCTGAGATACAGTTTGCTCAAAGATTAGCTGCAAATGAGAAGAAAATACGCAATAAGGCCCTGAAGAAACTAAGGAAATATATCCACTCAAAATCTGCTGCTAAGCCAGGTACACGATGTCACGTGTTTATCAATTGTGTTCATTGTACTTGTATTTCTTCTGCGCCGAGTTGAGACACGTGAGAGCTTCACTTTTCGCGCATCAGAAAACATGGACATATTGATGGCAAGAACGAATTTCACCGTGCGCAGCTTATATTGTGTTAATTGTCTCAGATTGCTGACTTTGTTCCTCGCTTTACATATCCCACATGCCTCCTCGATCCATAGGTCTAAGCTGGCAACGTGATTTCCCCCGTGTCTCTCCTCCTCTCACCCCCCCCCCCCCCCCCCCCCCCCCCCCCATCCAACCTGGCGCTAATTGAAATCTGAAATCGTGAGCTCGGGAAGGTGCACTCCTCCCATATTACCACTTTGCTTATAGATGCTCATATATTTTTTTATAAAGATAATTACGTATAAAACATTCAGTAATAAACTGTCAAAACACTGTACGAGAAAACAGTCAACCATGAATAAAACGAAATAGCCCCACCCACTGTAATACTGTGATTAGGTCAAAGACTAAAATAGAGGGACGGCCCTCTAGCCTATGTGCGAAACCATCAGCGCTACGGAACTGCCCAGCCCATACAGAAGCTGGCAGAAACGTGATCACTGCAGTCATCGTCGTCAATGCTGAGGATATATTTCAAAATATATATTGACGCTCTGTATTTCTTAACATTGTCAATATTACAACTGAGATTTGTTGGTGCACTGAAGTAAACATTGTCCTTGTATTTGCTGAATATGGTCACACTTGATCTTTAACAAAGCTGGAGCAATCGTGCAATTTTTTATTTTGACTCCAGAAATATGACAAAATCTGACTTTGTACCATGGACTTTTGTTAAACTGTGTTTTGGTGACCCATGATGTCCATAAATTGTGCCACTTTTTGTCAGTTAACATTAAATTTGGATACAAACTAATGTTAAAAACGAGATACCCCAAAAATGCATTGATATTTCAATGGGACACTTTCATGAATTATTTTCATGAAATGATGTTTATTTTGCAGTCAGTATACATGGTATAGTTAAACTATTGTAACATAAAATAAGATATATTTACTGATTTAAAAAAAAATAAAAAAATTATATTATACTTTATATTATGACGGTTTGGTAGTGGTAACATCACTATCATTTTTAGTCTGTCATACAGATCCTGAAAGTGAAACAAATGTGTCCAATACAGCCCATGCAAGTCTATAATATCTGGCAAGTCTGGATGTCTGTGCATCCGTCTTGCATCTGCAGCAGTTCCCCAACACCAGTAAACACAGCTGTCTCTTACAATAATTGCTTTCCTGTACACAACAGTTATCAAGTTCTGATACCATGACTGATTCCTTGGTTAGACGACCCATGAAGTCCGGGGTAGAATAGGTCTTCAGCAACCCATGCTTGCCGCAAAAGGCGACTATGCTTGTCGTAAAAGGCGACTAACGGGATCGGGTAGTCAGGCTCGCTGACTTGGTTGATGCATGTCATCGATGCCAATTGCGTGGACCAATGCTCATGATATCAATCACTGGATTGTCTGGTCCAGACTCGATTATTGAAAGACAGCGGTCATATAGCTGGAATATTGCTGAGTGCGGCGTTAAACAACGAACAAACAAACCTTGGTTAGACATCACCTCCGTATTGCAGGGGGTAGATCATCCGCCCAGAGAGCAGAAGGTTGGTGGTGCGATCCCCGTCTGTATCTTAGCAAAAGATGTTAAAATATGGTACTTGTTGTTACCTCTCTTGTGCTCGGCATTAAGGGGCTAAAACAAGGACTGGTCGGCTCGGAGTCAGTATACTGTGTCTGAGTGGGGTATTCATGTAAAACTGCGGCATGGTATCTCAGTGAGCTGTCTCTATAAAACTGGCATTAGTTGAGACTAGCATAAGCAGCCACACACACACACACACGTGCATGCATGTCACTATGACAACAATAATCTTACACATTGAACCCCATTTCACCTCACCACCGACCGCCTCCGTGGTCTAATGGTAGAGCGTCCGCCCGGAGAGCGGAAGGTTCGGGGTTCGATCCCCGGCCGCGTCATACCAAAAGACGTTAAAAGATGGTACTTGTTGTTACCCTGTCTGGCGCTCGGCATTAAGGGGCTAAAACAAGGACTGGTCGGCTCGGAGTCAGTATACTGTGTCTGAGTGGGGTATTCATGTTAAACTGTGGCATGGTATCTCAGTGGGCTGGCACTATAAATCGGCATCAGTCCGGACTAGTACAAGCAGCCACACACACACACACACGTACATGCACGTCACTATATAAGTGCAAAAATCTTGGACGCGACGTTAAACCCCATTTCACCTCACCTCACCTCACCACCTCCTTGGTAAGACACTGAAATAAGTCATCGATGAAATCAACTATTTGGAGCAACAATTACCATGCTTTCACAGTTGCTCAGTGTTCCCGTTTACATGTAATTACCAGGTTTTTACCGGTAAAATTAGACTTGGACCGGTAATTCATGTTACTGCAAGTCCCTGTGGACTGGCAAATAAATGACCTCATACGTCTTTGTTGTTGAACAAAACATTGGTGATATTCAGATAAGTATATTTTTCGAACAAAGTCAGCTTGTTTGTTACCATCAGGGTTTCCTGTTATCTATTTTTAGTGAGGGAAATAACATTTCGCTTTGCTTTGAGGTTAAATATATATTTGTAGTCTCGAAATACTAAAAAAAACGAGAAAATTGTGAATGAACTTTGTGTGAATAACTTGTAGATCTAACTAAGTTACTTCAGAGATGACATTGCATTTTTGTTGTTGAAAGTTGGGACTTACAAAAATTAGAGGGGACTGGTCATTTTTAGAGTTACCAGTCCACGAGGTTTCAAAACCCAACGGGAACACTGTCACTTTCCTGTACATTTTAACAGTAACCACAGGGTTACATTGACCTTGATCATGATCATTGATGATGCTTGCTAATGGATGTATTTGTTTCAGGACTGACAGAGGAGGACCTCATCAAGCTATGGAAGGGTCTTCACTACTGCATGTGGATGCAAGACAAGCCCTTGCTGCAGGTAAACCATCCCGGGGGGGGAATACGTCCCCAGGACTCTGCATCACATCTGGGGGTCAATGGTATTGAGGGGGTCGGGCGACACGCTACTGATGGGGTCGGATGGCATGGTACTGATTGGGTCCGATGAGGCAGTACTGATGGGGTCAGGTGAAGTGGTATTGACGGGGTCATATGGCATGGTACTGACCAGGTCGGGTGAAGCGGTATTGATGGGGTCGGATGGCATGGTACTGACCGGGTCAGGTGAAGCGGTATTGACGGGGTTGTATGGCATGGTACTGACGGGGTCGGGTGAAGCGGTATTGACGGGGTTGTATGGCATGGTACTGACGGGGTCAGTTGAAGCGGTATTGATGGGGTCGGATGGCATGGTACTGACCGGGTCGGGTGAAGCGGTATTGACGGGGTTGTATGGCATGGTACTGACGGGGTCCGGTGAAGCGGTATAGACTGGGTCGGATGAAGTTGTATTGACGGTCAGTTGCAGCAATATTGACGGGGTCATGTGACGTATTGATTGGATCGGGTGTCACGGTATTTACTGATGTTTGTGTTTGCCACCAGGAGGAGCTGGCTGTCCACATCACCCGCCTTGTCTTCAGCTTCACCAACACTGCGGCAGCCATGACATTCTTCAAGGTGTTCCTGGTGACAGAAGCTCGCGAGTGGAACGGCATCGACAGACAGCGGCTGGACAAGTTTATGATGGTCAGTGCTGGGGCAGTTTGAATACAGGGTGATAAAGTGAGCAGTGTCTCAGCAGAGTCTCAGCAGAGTAAACTGACAGCCTTAAGGGCCAGCACATTTTAAAAAAACAGTAGGCCCAGTGGAAAAACTGTAGGCCCAGTGGAAAAACTGTAGGCACAGTGGAAAAACTGTAGGCCCAGCGGAAAAACTGTAGGCCCAGTGGAAAAACTGTAGGCCCAGCGGAAAAACTGTAGGCACAGGGGAAAAACTGTAGGCCCAGTGGAAAAACTGTAGGCCCAGCAGAAAAAACTGTAGGCCCAGGGGAAAAACAGTAGGCCCAGCGGAAAAATTGTAGGCCCAGTGAAAAAACAGTAGGCCCAGTGGAAAAACTGTAGGCCCAGTGGAAAAACTGTAGGGCCAGGGGAAAAACTGTAGGCCCAGTGGAAAAACTGTAGGCCCAGCGGAAAAACTGTAGGGCCAAGGGAAAAACTGTAGGCCCAGCGGAAAAACTGTAGGCCCAAACATTTCAGCTGAAGCAGGGAGATGTATTCTTGCAATATAACTTACAAAACACAACCAGTCAACCAGAAGCTTGTACTGCTCTCATATCGACCCCCCAGAGACTCGGCAGTGATAGATGAAGCCTACATTCATCAGGAAATATCAGCTTCAAAACATCTTCGCGGCTATATGTCATACACCATTTGAAAGGTCTAATCCTACTGTTTATGAATATGAAAGTTTTGTTTATCACATTTTACTTAAAAAATGCTTAATAAATAATTACTTAAATAAATGGCAGGTCGTAAGGGCCTGCTGAATCTGAAAACTATCAGCCCGAGAACAAATCTGTCGGCCTCGGGCCTACGGGCCGATGGCTATTTCAAACACTGAATGTAAGTCAGGGCTGGGCAGATTTATATTACGGTGTTATTTACTTTGGGCGGAAATCTAAGTTCATGTCCGAGATGTTCTGACAGACTGCCATGTTTTCAGATGACGCGGCAGATGCTCCACCAAGTGTTTGTGCTGCTGAGACAGGGTGGATGGGCGGAGGAGATGATCGCCGCCCTGGCAGAGGTGATGCGTGCGACGACGCTGAGCACGACGTCGGACAGCATCCCCGACAGTTTCTCCATGCACCTTGCTGACATCTACCTGTCAGAGCTGGCCAAGGTTGGAGCCCAGCAGGTGGGTGCAAATGTTGAACCAATCTCATTGAAATCAGATCTTAGTTCTCGCTACTGCTAAACAAAGATCTGACGACATCCAATTACGGGTCACGTCAGAACGATCTTTCGCGAATTTTGACCGACCAGTGAAAAGACTGACAAGAAATCGACATTGGCCCATCAGAGGGCAGCTTTCTCGAGCTTTAAGACACTAGTTTCAAACTGGTGACTACGCTTCGAAACATATTTTGTCGTATTCTCGATTAAAAAAATTAAATTACATTAAGTAATACGTTACCACTGTTATACCGAGGCTGTTGTCTCCCACAACTGCTGCTATAGCGAAATCTACCACAGAGATCTCAATTACCTCATGCAGCACGTGCGTAGCCACCTAGCTGCCATGTGACACCCTTCACTCTTGTCTCCTTCGTCTGCGTAGCAAGACGTGTTTTCCTCCTGCTGAAGCGTTCCTTGAAGATTTGGTGATATTTATTATAGTTTATTCTCTAATAAACTGTGCTTTTATGGGGCGTTGCGGTAGCTACGCTTGGTTATAATTTTCCCGCCCTTTTTTCTATATACTTGCGGGGTTCGCGTATGCACGTTGTGTTTTACGTTTCCCCTGTTCTTGTATGTTTCGGGGGTTAACATAACTTATTTCTTTAATAAAAGTTATATGTGTATGTTATATGTTCACATTGCTCGTTTATTTTCTTGTGAAAATGTTCGTTTGTGAATCATTGTGGTGCGTGCGTTGTAACCATGTTTTGTTCTTTGTTTATAGCAAACAATCAATGTCTGACATGGATATGTCCCCAGTATCCACCCCCTCTACCCCTGCTCCTCGGAGTTGTGGGGTGTGCAGAAAGTTTTTGTCGTCCCGGGATCCCCACGATCGTTGCCCGCGGTGCAGGGTGTTTCTTGCGGGGACACCCGGTGCATCCTGTGCGAAGGTCTGGGGCCTGCGGTGTTTGAGCGGTACCGGCTGTACGTACAGTCCGTCTCCACCCCTGTGGTGGCCGGTTCGTCCGGTCGGGGTCCCCATGCGGGTACCACCTCCTCGGCTGCGGCGGATCCCCTTGCGGCCCTCGGGCTGTCTGGGGATTCCGTCGCCGCATTGTTGTCGAAACTTGTGGACTCCAAGCTGGCGGCCTTATCGCAAGATAGGCCGCTGGCTGTTCCGTCCCCGGCCTCTTCGGTGGCCGAGGGGTCGGACGCGGGGTCCACCGGTAAAGCGGCGGATCTCTTGGCGGCCCGTGTGCTGTCCGGGGATTCCGTCGCTGCATTACTTGCATAACTTGTGGACTCCAAGCTTGCGGCCTTATCTCAGGATAGGCCGCTGGCTGTTCCGTCCCCGGCCACTTCGGTGGCCGCGGGGTCCACCGGTACGGCGGCGGCTCCCGTGGTCACCGGTCCTTCCCCGAACCGCTGCTCCCGCTATCGGTTTAGGACCGCGTGGCCATGGTTTATGACCTCTTTGAGGACATGCCCCGGCCGGTACCGCGGGGAATCCACGACTGTGGGTTCCTCCGAGGTATACGATGAGTCTTCCGACACGGCTTTCCCCGCATCAACCTTGCTGCGCGGTTTCAAGCCTTCCTTGGAGAACGCCTTCGCGGTGGCCTCCGGTCGGGGTCTCCCGTTGCCTCCGACGTCGTGGAGAAAGGGTTTATTCCCGGTACATGACCTTGCCTTTCCCGAGGCTGGTCCTACCGCGGAGGCCCATGTTGAGCGGTTGGGTGTCCGTGCCCCACCGGCTGCTACGGTAACGCAAGCTACCTTGCACCAGCTGGACGCCCTCGCTCGGCACTCCATGTCTCACGGAGACACTTACTTGGCTGCAGCGGCCCGTCTGGTCGAAGGTTCTCCCACGGACCGTGACCAGCGCATTTACAACTGCCTGCTCAGTTTAAATGCTTCCCTGGAGTACGTTGCCGAGGACTCTCGGCACACACTTGCTCTTGTTGGGTCCCTGCATAGGCGCCTGGGTGCCGCTCCTAACCGGAGCGCGCCCCAGGCTGCTGCGGCCGGTAGGTCTAAGGGGTCGGGTTCTTCTTCCTCTGGGAAGTAGCCCCGCCCTGAGGGCTCCGGTATGGGCAATCAGCTGCCCTTTTCGCGGGAAGACGGGGAACTGGGGGAAGCCCAAGTCGTCGACGGACGGCAAGGGCCCCTCCAGGTGACTCTCATTGGAGGGGTTCGTATGCCGACAGCGCCAACTTCGGTTGGCCCTTAGGCGAACCCGAGTCACTTGGCCCTGGACAGTTGCGCCTGCCGCAACCTGTCAGGGCCCCCTCTCCTTCCCCAGTGGGAGCCAGACTCCAGACTTACTGGGAGAATTGGGAACAAGTGTTCGACGACCCGTGGGTGGTCAACACGATTCGGTACGGCTATCGGCTTGATCTCAAAGCGAATCCGCCGCTCATCGTTGCCCCGTTGGCAGGTTTCGATTCGGAAACCAATCTTCCCATCCTCGCCGATGCCATCGGCAGGTTGGTGGAGAAGGGGCAGTACGGGAGTTAGCTCTACCAGAAATAACACCGGGGTTTTACTCCAGGATATTTCTCGTTCCCAAGTAGGACAGTGCCGAACTCAGAATGATTCACACGTCCGCTCCCTGGCTGTTCACCCGGTTAACCACCCCCATAGTGGGGTTCCTCGACAGGAGGGGTGTCCGGTACTTCGCGTACCTGGACGACTCGCTAGTAGCAAATCGAATGACGGACACCCTGTCACGCCATCTCGTTTTCGCACGTCGGCTCTTGGAGCAATTTGGGTGGATTATCAATCTCCCCAAGAGCGAGTTAACCCCTTCTCAGAACTTGCTGTTCATCGGAGGTCGGTTCAACACGGTGTCCCTTCGCCTCTTTGTCCCCCCAGACCGGTGGCACAAAATTCAGGCGATGATTGCCAAAGTCTTAGCGGTGCAACAGACTGTTCACTTTTGGGAACAGCTGTTAGGGCTACTTGTATCAGCCCAGGACTGCACCGCACGGGGTCGTCTCCAACTCCGCCCGCTGCAACGGTTTTTAATCCAGTTGTTAGCAACGGAGGTGAACAGTGCGACCGTCGCCCTCCCGGATCGGCTCCGACCGCATCTGGAGTGGTGGACGGTCCCTTACATTGTCTTATCAGGAGTCTCTATGCGGCCCTACCGGGCCACGTTGACCCTGTATACAGACGCCTCTCTAGTGGGCTGGGGCGCCCATCTAAAGGGGGAGGTGAGCTCGGGGCTGTGGTGCGTAGACGAACTAGGTCTTCACATCACTTGTCTCGAGTTCAAGGCAGTGATCAACGCAGTCAATCACTGGAAGCATCGTCTCGTCGACGCCCGGCTCATGCTGGCGACCGACAACACGACGGTAGTGTCCTATGTGAACAAACTGGGGGGAACCCACAGTCACTCGCTACTTGATCTCACGTTCGAGTTTTACGCTCTGGTGGACAGTGTCCCGTGCCAGATACACGCCCGTCACATCCCAGGTGTGCGGAACGTACTGGCCGATGCTCTATCGAGGCCTCAGGATCCGAGCCCCACAGAGTGGATGCTGAACCCAGTAGTGTTTCAGTGGCTGTGCGAACGTTTGGGTCGTCCGATGGTCGACCTGTTCGCAACGCGGTTCAACAATCAACTCCCGTTGTTTGTATCACCAGTCCCGGACCCGAGGGCCATCGATCACGATGCTCTCGCGTTAGACTGGACGGGCTTGGACGCTTATGCTTACCCGCCGACAGCGTTGATACCACACATTCTAAGCCGGCTCCGAGGAGTTCGCTGTCGAATGTTACTGATCGCGCCCATGTGGCCGAACAGATCGTGGTACCCCGACTTGCTGACCCAGGTCACGCAGTCGCCACTTCCACTGCCTGTGAGACCGGATCTCTTGATCCACCCTCACACCCGTCAGCTTCATCCAAACGCAGGGCAGTTCAATCTGCACGCGTGGATGTTGTCACCGAGCGTCTGAGGAGTAAAGTTTTTTCTCGCCGGGCGTCTCGGGCATACGTTAGTATGCATCGTGATTCTACCCAGAAGGTGTATAATGCACGTTGGGTTATTTTCACGAAGTGGTGTTGTAAACATCACATTCATTCGCCAGATAAGGTATCTGTGCAGGATATTGCTCGTTTCATGTCTCACTTGCGAGAGACCCGGAAACTCTCCGGGGGTTCCATTGCCAACTATGTCTCGTCCGTTGCTACGGTACGGGACGTTGCTATGGGTACCAGTCTCTCCAAAGAGCCGGTGATACGGGGTATTATCAAGGGTTTCAAACAGCACGATCTTAAGAAGGGCCGCCTTCGGGCACCGGCCTGGGATCTTTCCCTAGTGTTGCAATCACTTACGGAAGCTCCGTATGAACCCTTGCATAGTGCTTCGTTCCGGCATGTGACTTGGAAAACAGCATTTCTCCTCTCCTTTGCCACGGCGGCACGTGTATCCGAAATTCATGCACTCGATGTCGCCAAGGTACGATTCGATAGGGGTGACGAAGGAGCGGTCCGCCTGGGCCTGCTCATGGGCTTCGTCGCCAAGAATCAGAGTCGGGCAAACGGAGAGAGAATTCACTGTAAGATCACTCAAAGAAATCTTACATCCTGCTGATACTGAGGACAGAGCGCTGTGTCCGGTTAGGGCCCTTAAGTATTATCTTAAGGCTTCGAATGAACGTAGACAAGGGCGTGACCGTCTGTTCATATCGTGTAACCCTAATCGCACGGTTGACATAACTCGCAACTCGATTGCGTTGTGGCTTCGTTCTGTCATCAATCTGGCGTACCGGTCTCGGGGGTTACCGGTAGCGGGGTCAAACCCGCACGAGATAAGGGCGCTAGCGGCAACATTTGCCCTACACTCGAATATCTCTGTTCGCAGAATATTACGAGGTTGTTACTGGCGTTCTGACTCGGTTTTTGCCAATCATTACCTCAAACAGGTCGCTGATGCCGTCGTGGAGAGTGTGCACCGTCTTGGCCCGCGGATCGCGGCGCAAGCGGGCACCTAAGGGGTGTGCCCAGCGCAATTCCGAACTCCTCAGGCGTCTGACCTTGCACGGTGGTCAATCTGGGTCGACTCCAATGTTCCCACTGCCGTGGGTACAGGAGTTGGGGTCCCGCAAACCAGCGCACTCACACCACAGGTGAGGGCGGCTTTTTGTGTGCTTTGTCCTTATTTGTATTTTGACAATTATGTCTTTAATTGTCTGTCGTGTATCCCAACCTTGTGATGCATGCTTACAAATACTGGAATTAGGTCACGCGCCTAATGCATACTTTAAGTAGGCTTGCTCTGGGATATACGGTCTGAATGAAATTAATTTCCCTCTTTTCGACTGTTTAACCTGATCTAAGATTAAGCTCACGCGGATACAGTGTTCTCATCCGCTGCGGCGATGAAATACCTATCCAGTGGGGCCGTTTGGAGTCACCAATCGTTTTGGCAATGACGATTGAGCCTTACGGTATGCGCTTGACAGTGCTTTGGTATTCCTATAGGGTAACGCCTAGCTAGGTGCATGCGCATCGAGTGCTTCCGCCTTGGTGTTTACTTCCGCTGGTCGGAAGGAACGCTAGCAGTCAGGATTCGGGTTGTAGGTGCTCCCCACCGCCTACTGTGGTAGTCAGCCTCGGTATAACAGTGGTAACGTATTACTTAATGTAATTTGTAGAATTTTCCTATTCGGAATATTCTATAAGTAATACGTTACCACTGGGCTGCTGCCCGCCCGTCCGTCCCCCGAGCACTTGCTCTCGCAGGAGACAAGAGTGAAGGGTGTCACATGGCAGCTAAGTGGCTACGCACGTGCTGCATGAGGTAATTGAGATCTCTGTGGTAGATTTCGCTATAGCAGCAGTTGTGGGAGACAACAGCCTCGGTATAACAGTGGTAACGTATTACTTATAGAATATTCCGAATAGGAAAATTCTACAAAATTGATAGAACATTCTGGAATGGCTTATATATGGCCTAGATTGTATGGATATAATCATAAAAACCTGTAACTGTCGTTCGGAATACCCCGTGTTTAATAAATCGTGGTTACATGATTAGAAAACACAATCCGACTGTCACTTTCATGATCTGGTAACCGTGATTGGTTGGATGAAAGGTTGTTCTGACGTGACCCCTAATGGGATGTCCTCAGATCTTTGTTTAGCGATAACGAGAACTAAGATCTGATTTTAATGAGATTGTTGTTGAACAAACGTCGAGGTAGGATGGCCGCCCTTCCTGGCCCTCTGAAACTCAAATATAGAACCTTGAAATATAGGTAAGAAAATTATCAATCATGACCAAACTCGCTCTTTTTCCTTTTTTCCTAAACTTTGCAAGTTTTGGACTTTGGACATTAATATACTTCCGACAAATAAAAGGGAACTGATGAAATGATAGTGAAGGTGTAATGACGATAAATGTCTGTAAAATTAATTTCAGGCGGGTAGATCAACGTGTGATGTGTCCACCATGTTGGGCGTTACATGCACGGCCCTTTGATGGCATACTGTTGATTAACTTGTGTATGGTTGCCCTTGGTATTGCTGGGGTGGTCGGGTAGCCTAGTGGTTAAAGCGTTCGGACGTCATGCAGATTCTCGACATGGGTACAATGTGTGAAGCCCATTTCTGGTGTCCCACGCTGTGATATTGCTGGAATATTGCTAAAAGTGGTGTAAAACAATACTCACTCACTCACTCACTCACTCACTCACTCACTCACTCACTCACTCATACTCACTCACTCACTCACTCACTCACTCACTCACTCTCATACTCACTCACTCACGCATACTCACTCACTCACTCACTCACTCACTCACTCACTCACTCTACCCCTTCTGGGCCAGGGTGGCGGGTGTTGGGTCTCTTGCGTACACCCGAGAACCTCTCCCAGATGTCCTCTTGGGGCATGTCCGGGAACTGCCGTCTTCTGGTCAGAGATAACGGTTACAACCGGGGCACGATGTGGACGCAGAATGTCATCAACATATCTCTCTGGTCAATCAACCTTGAATTGATTGTAAACTTGGTGTTACACCATTTGCACACCGCCCGTCCCAGGTGTTGCCCAGCCCACCCTAATCTTTGCCGCCTATGGTAAGCTGTTAGGGTCACACCCTTCATAGGCTGCATAGAGCCGATTTTAACGGTAGATATAGAATTCGCTTTCCTGTTATAGTACGAAATTCTCTATTGATAATGGGAGAAGATTTGAATGTATTGTGTAGTGCAATGAATGTTATGAGACGATCTTGTCTTGATGTCATTTAAAGGGGGCACGGGTGGACTCGTCGTCTAAGGCGCTGCGATTGCTGTGCAGAGTTGTGTCCCTTGGGCACGCCAGAAACCTATGATTGTGGGTTCGAATCCCGGTTCGCCCCGATTATGTTTCTAGGTTTTGTCAGCAGCATACCCGTGCTCGTGGGTTTCACCGAAGTGGTAAACGTCTGAGACCTGCATCACTTCAGGCTTTCCTCCCACATTAAGCTGACATGCCGTGATATAACTGGAAACCTCACTCACTCACTCACTGATGTGGTTTTATAGGTCTGCAGCAGCCAGGTCTCATTGCATCTCCGTGATACTTGATGATACTTGTACGACAGTCGAAAAATTCCACTTTTTGATTTGCCAAACATTAGGGCAACACGGGTATTGACATCCCCTGTTCAGGCCTGATGTAATTTCATTGTGGTCAGATGCAGGGCCACAGTCATGTAACTGGCCACCTCAACAGCTACATTACTGGTGTCCCCCGCTGTGATATTGCTGGAATATTGCTAAAAGCAGCGTTAAACCATACTCACTCACTACAGGATGTTATGATCTTGCTGGAATATTTCTGAGTCTTAAACTGTCACTCACTTCACACAATAACTACATTCAAATCATTAGTTCCCTTTTTTTTTTTGTTAGTATACATATGTAAGTCTGAAGTGTGTGAGAAGGAACAATTGTTGAAATACACAAAGTTTAATTGTCATGTGAAGACGTTGTTGATTGATTGACTGGTATTTGAAATACAAGATCTTATTGGCCGACTCCTCTCATGCTGCTGTCTGATTGGTCATTTCAGCTGGATGGTCAGCAGATCCTGTCTCTCCTCAAAGTGTTTGACGACTACCTGCAGACTGGGAGAAGGTATGTCCCCTCATTCATGGCCTGTAAGTCAGCAGCTGGAGGTCATCAACGGATGATCTCTGATTGTCCTCAAGGCCTTGTCAATGTGGCCTTGACTGATACTGTCTGAATGTCCACATGGCCTTGACTGATGCCGTCTGAATGTCCTCATGGCCTTGACAGATACTGTCCACATGGCCTTGACTGATGTCTGAATGTCCACATGGCTTTGACGGATGCTGTCTGAATGTCTACATGGCCTTGACAGATACTATCCACATGGCCTTGACTGATGTCTGAATGTCCACATGGCCTTGACGGATGCTGTCTGAATGTCTACATGGCCTTGATGGATGCTGTCAAATGTCCACATGGCCTTGACAGATACTGTCCACATGGCCTTGACTGATGTCTGAATGTCCACATGGCCTTGACGGATACTGTCTGAATGTCTACATGGCTTTGATGGATGCTGTCGAATGTCCACATGGCCTTGACTGATACTGTCCACATGGCCTTGACTGATGTCTGAATGTCCACATGGCCTTGACGGATACTGTCTGAATGTCTACATGGCTTTGATGGATGCTGTCGAATGTCCACATGGCCTTGACTGATACTGTCCACATGGCCTTGACTGATGTCTGAATGTCCACATGGCCTTGACGGATACTGTCTGAATGTCTACATGGCCTTGACGGATACTGTCCACATGGCCTTGACGGATGCTGTCGAATGTCCACATGGCCTTGACGGATACTGTCTGAATGTCCACATGGCCTTGACAGATACTGTCCACATGGCCTTGACTGATGTCTGAATGTCCACATGGCCTTGATGGATGCTGTCAAATGTCCACATGGCCTTGATGGATGCTGTCGAATGTCCACATGGATGTCTGAATGTCCACATGGCCTTGACAGATACTGTCCACATGGCCTTGACGGATACTGTCCACATGGCCTTGACAGTGTGGCCTTGACTGATGTCTGAATGTCCACATGGCCTTGACAGATACTGTCCACATGGCCTTGACTGATGTCTGAATGTCCACATGGCCTTGACAGATACTGTCCACATGGCCTTGACAGTGTGGCCTTGACTGATGTCTGAATGTCCACATGGCCTTGACAGATACTGTCCACATGGCCTTGACTGATGTCTGAATGTCCACATGGCCTTGACGGATACTGTCCACATGGCCTTGACAGTGTGGCCTTGACTGATGTCTGAATGTCCACATGGCCTTGACAGATACTGTCCACATGGCCTTGACTGATGTCTGAATGTCCACATGGCCTTGACAGATACTGTCCACATGGCCTTGACAGTGTGGCCTTGACTGATGTCTGAATGTCCACATGGCCTTGACAGATACTGTCCACATGGCCTTGACTGATGTCTGAATGTCCACATGGCCTTGACGGATACTGTCCACATGGCCTTGACTGATGTCTGAATGTCCACATGGCCTTGACGGATACTGTCTAAATGTCCACATGGCCTTGACGGATACTGTCTGAATGTCCACATGGCCTTGACGGATACTGTCTGAATGTCCACATTGCATTGACTGATGCTGTCTGAATGTTCTTATTTCACTGACGGATGTTCTGTAGACCTCCTGTAGACTTCATCACTAGAGTGTGTTGTGTCGTCTCCAGGCCTCTGGTGCTGAAGAGGATCATTGGAAGTGTGTACAACAACGTGGTGGAGCAGACAGCGGAGAGGTTGCGGCGGGAGGGAGAGAAGAAGGAGGAGGCAGTGGAGGATGGGATGGAGGGGACAAAGGATGACTCGGACTCTGGCTACGACGAGGACTCGGAACCCAAACTGAAGGTGAGTAGACTCACAGGGGGCCAAACAGCTTGTTGGTGAACACTGACGTTCTCAGGAATTATGGGTCGTCTAGGATACTTTGCTCTGAAAAACACAAGTGATATTAAACTAATACTATGTACATGGATGACATTCGTTGTGACTGAAGTATCTGAGACCGCCTCTGTGGTCTAGTAGTAGAGCGTCCGCCCTGAGAGCGGAAGGTCCGATGTTCAATCCACGGCCACATCATACAAAAAGACGTTAAAAGATTGTACTTGTTGTTAACCTGTCTGGCGCTCGGCATTGAGGGGCTAAAACAAGGACTGGTAGGCTCGGAGTCAGTATACTGTGTCTGAGTGGGGTATTCATGTTAAACTGCAGCATGGTATCTCAGTGGGCTAGCACTATAAATCGGCATCAGTCCGGACTAGTACAAGCAGCCACACAAACACACACACGTGCATACACGTTGCTATACAAGTGCAATAATCTTGGACGCGAAGTTAAACCCAATCTCACCTCACCTCACCTCACCTCACCTCACCTCACCTCACCTCACCTCACCTCACCTGAAGTGTCTGAAGAGGGGAGCCTGCAGCTGTAGGAGGATGTCTGCCGTGACGGGACACAGATTTTATTTTTTTTCATAGATAATTACTTTGGTATCAAAATCTTAACACATCATAATTATGTTTCATGATATGAATCTATTGATTAATGTCACGTTGTATTCTCCATCCTCATGGGGACAAAGTTACTGACTGACTCAATTGTGTCATTTTTCAAAGTGAAATTGACGAACTTGCTTCTTGAGAATCAGTCCCATCAGTAGATGTTGGTAGCAAAGAAATCCTCCCTTGAAGATGAGAATTGGCCTTCAGCAACCCATGCTTGTCATGAGAGGATAAACGTCCGGGCTTGATTTAGCTATGTAAAACATGCACAAGTGCATCCTATTATTGAAAAATGCAGCCTGATATTTATGTCTTCAGCAACCCATGCTTGTCATGAGAGGCGACAAACGTCAGCTCTTGATTTAGCTATGTAAAACATGCTCAAGTGCATCCTATTATTGAAAAATGCAGCCTTATATTTGTCTACATGCACTAAGTGCATGTCAAAATATTTCAGATTTGTGTATGGCTATCCCTTAATGGTCTTTGAACACACACAATACCTCTAAAGTTTATTTACCCTACTAAGCCACGAAGCCCTGTGTTATCTGTATTTTGTCATGCTTTGTTGGACTTGACATCATCAAACTGTCGGCACTTCAAGATTATGTGTATGTGTGAAGCCCATTTCTGGTGTCTCCCGCCGTGATATTGCTGGAATAATGCTAAAAGCGGCGTAAAACCCATCTTCCCGAGGCAAGAGAGTTAACTGACTACAAAAGTTCAGTTTCCACCCTTGCTGAACGTTTTTAGGAGTTATGTCCCTTCTGAGCCTCTCCTATGGACCAATCCGATTCCATCACTTGCACTTGTTTCAAACAAAATGGCGGCGCCCAGTCAAGACGATCTGATCGATAATCAAGATCTATATTGTGATAAAACGAGTCTTACATCGCGCGAGCACCTTGCTTAAAAACATGAAAAGGTTTGGAAAATATCTGTTGACAACGAGTTGGCGGTGTGCATGCTTTGCAAATCCTGCAATCGACCGAAATCTGCATGACAGTTTACACACCGGATTTCGATTTCGGTGCGCGATTTTGATTGGACTATGCATAGACTCGTTAGTCCAGCCAAAATGTAATTCCATAATACCAGTCTAGTTCGGCAAGGGTGGAAACTGGACTTTAAAAGTCACTTAACTCTCTTGCCTCGGGAAGATGCGTAAAACCATACTCACTCACACACTCAAGATTATTTGCACATGTTCCTATTACGTTTTACAACAATGCGTCATTAACTTCTGTGACAATGGCTGTAGAACAGCCTATGTTTCAACTTTGTTGATTTATGGAGCCAAGGTGCAACCTGGTTTTGTCTGGTGCAACGTGTGTTTTTGATGACACCATGAACCTGGTGCAAGTTAAACAAGTTAAATCATGTGCCTTAAATCGAGCCCCGAATGGAATCTGGTGGTCAGGCTCGTGGACTTGGTTGATCCATGTCATTGTATCCTGGTTGTGTAGATCTATGCTCATGATGTCGATCACTGAATTGTCTGGTCAAGATTATTAACAGACCGCTGTCCAATGCTTGGTATCGCTGAGTGCAGCGTTAAACAACAAACAAACAAAACAAACAGAGCAACAATGCTACAATACATTGTTCAGGTACAGATCTGTTTGCAGCATTTTTCCTTCCCACATTTTTTCAGGTCCTGCTTGTAGAATGTGTGAAACTATGCATGGCATGTTTTCTAATGCGATGGTTCCTCTGTTTCAGTTTGACTGCTCGCTGCTTGCAGATCATCTGTTCCAAGTGGGGAGCCAGGAGCGATGTCGGGGAACAAACAGACAGATGCTGTACAGGACTGTCAACAGGTGAGAGCATCTCTACCACAGACCCTCCATAGTGAGGGCATCACAATCACAGACCACAGACCCTCCATAGTGAGGGCATCTCTACCACAGACCACAGACCACGGACTCTCCATAGTGAGGGCATCTCTACCACAGACCCTCCATAGTGAGGGCATCTCTACCACAGACCCTCGATAGTGAGGGCATCACTATGACAGACCACAGACCCTCCATAGTGAGGGCGTGACTACCACAGACCCTCCATAGTGAGGGCATCTCTACCACAGACCACAGACCCTCCATAGTGAGGGCATCTCTACCACAGACCCTCCATAGTGAGGGCATCACTATGACAGACCACAGAGCCTCCATAGTAAGGGCATCTCTACCACAGTTCCTCCATAGTGAGGGCATCTCTACCACAGTTCCTCCATAGTGAGAACATCACTACTGCAGACCCTCCATAGTGAGGGCATCTCTACCACAGACCCTCCATAGTGAGGGCATCACTATGACAGACCACAGACCCTCCATAGTGAGGGCATCTCTACCACAGACCCTCCATAGTGAGGGCATCACTACTGCAGACCCTCCATAGTGAGGGCATCACAATCACAGACCCTCCATAGTGAGGGCGTGACTACCACAGACCCTCCATAGCCATAGTGAGGGCATCTCTACCACAGACCACAGACCCTCCATAGTGAGGGCATCTCTACCACAGACCCCCCTTAGTGAGAGCGGGGACACAGGTGGCCCAGTCGTCGCTATTCACTGTGCAGAGTTGCGTCTATTGGGCACGCCAGAACCCTATGATTGTGGGTTCGAATCCTGGTTCGCTCTGATTATGTTTCTAGGTTTGTCAGCACCATACCCGTGCTCGTGGGCTTCATCGAAGTGGTAAACGTCTGAGACCTGCATCACTTCGGAATACTGTTAAAAGTGGCGTCAAACCCAATTCATTCACTAACTTAATCCCTATGGCACCTCACCCCTCATCACCTCACCTATGCTTACCTCACCTCACTTCACCTCACCTCACTTCACCCCTTATCACCTCACTTCACCCCTTATCACCTCACCTCACCCCTTATCACCTCACCTCTCATCACCTCACCTATGCTCACCTCACCTCACTCACCTCACTTCACCCCTTATACCTCACCTATGCTCACCTCACCTCACTTCACCCCTTATCACCTCACCTATGCTCACCTCACTTCACCCCACCTATTCTCATCTCACCTCACTTCACCCCTTATACCTCACCTCACTTCACCCCTTATCACCTCACCTCTCATCACCTCACGTATGCTCACCTCACCTCACTTCACCCCTTATCACCTCACCTATGCTCACCTCACCTCACTTCACCCCTTATCACCTCACCTCTCATCACCTCACTTCACCCCTTATCACCTCACCTCACTTCACCTCACCTATGCTCACCTCACCTCACTTCACCCCTTATCACCTCACCTCTGATCACCTCACCTATGCTCACCTCACCTCACTTCACCCCTTATCACCTCACCTATGCTTACCTCACCTCACTTCACCCCTTATCACCTCACCTCACTTCACCTCACCTATGCTCACCTCACCTCACTTCACCCCTTATCACCTCACCCCTTATCACCTCACCTCTGATCACCTCACTTTACCTCACCTCACTTCACCCCTTATCACCTCACCTCTGATCACCTCACTTTACCTCACCTCACTTCACCCCTTATCACCTCACCTCACTTCACCCCTTATCACCTCACCTCTCATCACCTCACCTATGCTTACCTCACCTCATTTCACCTTACTTCACCCCTTATCACCTCACCTCTGATCACCTCACTTTACCTCACCTCACTTCACCCCTTATCACCTCACCTCTCATCACCTCACCTATGCTCACCTCACCTATGCTCACCTCACCTCACCTGTATGTTGTGCAGGTTGCGGGATGCCGCGGCAGGTGCTGTACCGACCGCTGATGAGGCGGAGGACTACGACCCTGATGCAGACTTAGAGGATGCTGTGATGAGGCTGGTGAATCTCAATCCTAAAAAGAAGAAGAAGAAACGCCAGCAAGGTGCCCTAGTTTGTTTCCATTTACACTCTTGTTACCCAGAGGCGTAGTTACCCGGAGGAGTAGATTGTCGGTTGTTGACTAACGCCTCACTGGTCAATATTCTTGCTCCATGACTGCATCTCTCAGTCTGGGCTTGTCATTGTGCCTGATGGCCTCGATCACTGCTCATGCTTCCAATCATTGGATTATCTAGCCCAACTTGATTGTTGTCAGGCCATGGTGTAGCTTGAATATTGCTGAGTGGCACTGAACACCACTCACTCCACTCCTGGAGACCCGTGAAGATCCGGGGTAGAATAGGTCTTCAGCAACCCATGCTTGCCGTAAAAGGTGACTATGCTTGTCGTAAAAGGCGACTAACAGGATCGGGTGGTCAGGCTCGATGACTTGGTTGATGCATGTCATCGTATCCTAATCGCATGGATCGATGCTCATGATGTCAATCACTGGATTGTCTGGTCCAGACTCGATTATTTACAGACCGTCATTATATAGCTGGAATAGTGCTGAGCGAGGCATTAAACAACAAACAAACAAACATACAAACATTAGTTTATTTAGGAATATTGTGTAGGCTGTATGTCCGTAGGGTGTTCAAGACTCAGTGATTTTGCTGGAGACAATTGTCATTAGGACATTTTTAGTATATTATCAAATTTTGATGGAACATTCTTCTATATTATTACTACAATTTAAACATATGAGGACTTTCGATGACGATAAGTCGTGTTCTAGAGAATAATCCAATCTTAAACCGAGGTTCTGTGTTATTACTTCTGTAGAAGCAACAGATAAGGTGAACACACAGGATAAGGTGAACACACAGGATAAGGTGAACACACGGGATAAGGTGAACACACAGGAAGAAGTGGAAGTGGAAGCACAGGACGAAGTGGACGCACAAGATGAGGTTGCAGGTGAAACAGAAGAAGATGGCGTCAAGAAAGGGAAGAAGAAACAAAAACGCAAACTCCAGGAAACGGCGTCGGAGAAGAATGCTTCAAAGAAAGTGAAGTTAACTCCATCCAGTGAGGCTGATAAAAAGATAAATCTGGATACAAGCAGTGCTGTGTCAGAAACAGATTCCCCTAAGAAGAAAAAGAAGAGGAAGAGGAGGAAGAAGAAGGGGGCCCAGTCTGCAGAGGTGGCTGAACAAGGGGGAGATAAGTCAGTGTCCAAGGGAGGCAACTCCCAAAACGATGAAAGTTTAGACACTAGCCCACCAAACAATAAGAGTTGTGAAACTATTCCCAAGGAACAAGGCAGTTCAAGCAAGAAGTCTAAAAAGAAGAGAAGGTTAAAATCAACTGAAGAGAAGAATGAGGAGAAAGATGTTTCTCCTCCAAAGAAAACAAAAGCAGTGCCTGTGGACGGTAGCGTCAGTAAGCAGCTGTTCAAGGACGAAGGGAAAGATGGTGAGAACAAAAATAAAGGAAACAAGAAAAAGTCCAAAAAAAGTTCATTGAAGGAAGATGAGATAGTTAGTGTTGGCAAGGAGACAAAGGATGGAACTGCTAGTGTTGGCAAGGAGACGAGGGATGGAACTGCTAGTGTTGGCAAGGAGACGAAGGATGAGCCCCTGCTAGAGGGAGAGGTGGAGATATGGGTGCCCAGCAAAAAGCATCAGGCCAAGGTCAAGGCTGAAGAGAAAAAGACCAAGGACAGGAAGTCGAAAGGATCCGAATTTGCGAAGTTTGAGAAGATGTCAACTCCACCTGCTGCCTTTGTGAAGAAAGCCGTTGCCAAGGTGATGAAGACACCGGTTAAAAAGGTAAGAGATGTATTTGAAAAGTTTTAGACTTAAATGACATGTTTACACAGCTGAAATAGGCATATATATATAAAGATATATTGTCGTACCACAACAGCTGGAGACATTTATAAAAAGTTTTTTCACATAATTTTTATTTAATTTAGCACATTACCGTATTCGACGTAGTAAGCGCCCCGCTCTTATTAGCGCCCACAGTGATATTTGCTAATATATTGGCTAGCGAACAATCCCAATCAGCACCCCTCCGATGAATCAATGTACACAAGACTTATTTAACCATGTATAATACGCACTCGAGTGTTATCATGGTTATATGCACCCTTAATTATGGGCATTTAAAATTCTGGAAAAATAAATCTGTCATGTTTAATATCCACAGACTTTTCTTTTGTATCATTTCAGGCTGTCAGCATAAACCACGAAATTTACGATCTTTCAACTTTTTCTTTTTTTCACAATTTTTTTTTCTAATAAGAGCCCCCTATTTCTTATTTTAAGAGCACCCTGGGCGCTTATTACGTTGAATACAGTATTTATTATAGGGATGGTGGGTCATGAATTATGAATTTTTGTACTTGTATTGGGGTTGGTGGGATTGTGTGGCAAGGTGACGTGAGCTTCTGTTGCCTTTTAAACAGCAAGAGTGGCCACTGTCACCCTGAAACAAAGATCAAATGAAATGTTCTTGTCTAAACTTGTTTAATATTTAAAATAAAACAAAGTTTAGAAAATATGTATCTGTCATTGCCCTTACATAGATGTTGTTCATGGGCACACCAAGTTTTAGCACACAGTGATGGAATATTATCTAGGTCTTGTGCACACCAAGTTTTAGCACACAGTGATGGAATATTATCTAGCTCTTCTGTGCACACAAAGCTTTAGCACACAGTGATGGAATATTATCTAGGTCTTGTGCACACCAAGTTTTAGCACACAGTGATGGAATATTATCTAGGTCTTGTGCACACAAAGCTTTAGCACACAGTGATGGAATATTATCTAGGTCTTGTGCACACAGAGTTTTAGCACACAGTGATGGAATATTATCTAGGTCTTGTGCACACAGAGTTTTAGCACACAGTGATGGAATATTATCTAGGTCTTGTGCACACAGAGTTTTAGCACACAGTGATGGAATATTATCTAGGTCTTGTGCACACAGAGTTTTAGCACACAGTGATGGAATATTATCTAGGTCTTGTGCACACAGAGTTTTAGCACACAGTGATGGAATATTATCTAGGTCTTGTGCACACAAATCTTTAGCACACAGTGATGGAATATTATCTAGGTCTTGTGCACACAGAGTTTTAGCACACAGTGATGGAATATTATCTAGGTCTTGTGCACACACAGTTTTAGCACACAGTGATGGAATATTATCTAGGTCTTGTGCACACAAATTTTTAGCACACAGTGATGGAATATTATCTAGGTCTTGTGCACACAGAGTTTTAGCACACAGTGATGGAATATTATCTAGGTCTTGTGCACACAGAGTTTTAGCACACAGTGATGGAATATTATCTAGGTCTTGTGCACACAGAGTTTTAGCACACAGTGATGGAATATTATCTAGGTCTTGTGCACACAAAGCTTTAGCACACAGTGATGGAATATTATCTAGGTCTTGTGCACACCAAGTTTTAGTACACAGTGATGGAATATTATCTAGGTCTTGTGCACACCAAGTTTTAGCACACAGTGATGGAATATTATCTAGGTCTTGTGCACACAGAGTTTTAGTACACAGTGATGGAATATTATCTAGGTCTTGTGCACACAGAGTTTTAGTACACAGTGATGGAATATTATCTAGGTCTTGTGCACACAGAGTTTTAGCACACAGTGATGGAATATTATCTAGGTCTTGTGCACACAGAGTTTTAGCACACAGTGATGGAATATTATCTAGGTCTTGTGCACACAGAGTTTTAGCACACAGTGATGGAATATTATCTAGGTCTTGTGCACACAAATTTTTAGTACACAGTGATGGAATATTATCTAGGTCTTGTGCACACAGAGTTTTAGCACACAGTGATGGAATATTATCTAGGTCTTGTGCACACAGAGTTTTAGCACACAGTGATGGAATATTATCCAGGTCTTGTGCACACAGAGTTTTAGCACACAGTGATGGAATATTATCTAGGTCTTGTGCACACAGAGTTTTAGCACACAGTGATGGAATATTATCTAGGTCTTGTGCACACAGAGTTTTAGCACACAGTGATGGAATATTATCTAGGTCTTGTGCACACAAATTTTTAGCACACAGTGATGGAATATTATCTAGGTCTTGTGCACACAGAGTTTTAGCACACAGTGATGGAATATTATCTAGGTCTTGTGCACACCAAGTTTTAGCACACAGTGATGGAATATTATCTAGCTCTTGTGCACACCAAGTTTTAGCACACAGTGATGGAATATTATCTAGGTCTTGTGCACACAGAGTTTTAGCACACAGTGATGGAATATTATCTAGGTCTTGTGCACACAGAGTTTTAGCACACAGTGATGGAATATTATCTAGGTCTTGTGCACACAGAGTTTTAGCACACAGTGATGGAATATTATCTAGGTCTTGTGCACACAGAGTTTTAGCACACAGTGATGGAATATTATCTAGTTCTTGTGCACACAAATTTTTAGCACACAGTGATGGAATATTATCTAGGTCTTGTGCACACAGAGTTTTAGCACACAGTGATGGAATATTATCTAGGTCTTGTGCACACAGAGTTTTAGCACACAGTGATGGAATATTATCTAGGTCTTGTGCACACAGAGTTTTAGCACACAGTGATGGAATATTATCTAGGTCTTGTGCACACAGAGTTTTAGCACACAGTGATGGAATATTATCTAGGTCTTGTGCACACAGAGTTTTAGCACACAGTGATGGAATATTATCTAGGCCTTGTGCACACAGAGTTTTAGCACACAGTGATGGAATATTATCTAGGTCTTGTGCACACAGAGTTTTAGCACACAGTGATGGAATATTATCTAGGTCTTGTGCACACAGAGTTTTAGCACACAGTGATGGAATATTATCTAGGTCTTGTGCACACAGAGTTTTAGCACACAGTGATGGAATATTATCTAGGTCTTGTGCACACAGAGTTTTAGCACACAGTGATGGAATATTATCCAGGTCTTGTGCACACAGAGTTTTAGCACACAGTGATGGAATATTATCTAGGTCTTGTGCACACACAGTTTTAGCACACAGTGATGGAATATTATCTAGGTCTTGTGCACACAGAGTTTTAGCACACAGTGATGGAATATTATCTAGCTCTTGTGCACACAGAGTTTTAGCACACAGTGATGGAATATTATCTAGGTCTTGTGCACACAAAGCTTTAGCACACAGTGATGGAATATTATCTAGGTCTTGTGCACACCAAGTTTTAGTACACAGTGATGGAATATTATCTAGGTCTTGTGCACACCAAGTTTTAGTACACAGTGATGGAATATTATCTAGGTCTTGTGCACACCAAGTTTTAGTACACAGTGATGGAATATTATCTAGCTCTTGTGCACACAGAGTTTTAGTACACAGTGATGGAATATTATCTAGGTCTTGTGCACACAGAGTTTTAGCACACAGTGATGGAATATTATCTAGGTCTTGTGCACACCAAGTTTTAGCACACAGTGATGGAATATTATCTAGGTCTTGTGCACACAGAGTTTTAGCACACAGTGATGGAATATTATCTAGGTCTTGTGCACACAGAGTTTTAGCACACAGTGATGGAATATTATCTAGCTCTTGTGCACACAGAGTTTTAGCACACAGTGATGGAATATTATCTAGGTCTTGTGCACACAAAGCTTTAGCACACAGTGATGGAATATTATCTAGGTCTTGTGCACACCAAGTTTTAGTACACAGTGATGGAATATTATCTAGGTCTTGTGCACACCAAGTTTTAGTACACAGTGATGGAATATTATCTAGGTCTTGTGCACACCAAGTTTTAGCACACAGTGATGGAATATTATCTAGCTCTTGTGCACACAGAGTTTTAGTACACAGTGATGGAATATTATCTAGGTCTTGTGCACACCAAGTTTTAGCACACAGTGATGGAATATTATCTAGCTCTTGTGCACACAGAGTTTTAGTACACAGTGATGGAATATTATCTAGGTCTTGTGCACACAGAGTTTTAGTACACAGTGATGGAATATTATCTAGGTCTTGTGCACACAGAGTTTTAGCACACAGTGATGGAATATTATCTAGGTCTTGTGCACACAGAGTTTTAGCACACAGTGATGGAATATTATCTAGGTCTTGTGCACACAAATTTTTAGCACACAGTGATGGAATATTATCCAGGTCTTGTGCACACAGAGTTTTAGCACACAGTGATGGAATATTATCTAGGTCTTGTGCACACAGAGTTTTAGCACACAGTGATGGAATATTATCTAGGTCTTGTGCACACAGAGTTTTAGTACACAGTGATGGAATATTATCTAGGTCTTGTGCACACAGAGTTTTAGTACACAGTGATGGAATATTATCTAGGTCTTGTGCACACAGAGTTTTAGTACACAGTGATGGAATATTATCTAGGTCTTGTGCACACCAAGTTTTAGCACACAGTGATGGAATATTATCTAGCTCTTGTGCACACAGAGTTTTAGTACACAGTGATGGAATATTATCTAGGTCTTGTGCACACCAAGTTTTAGCACACAGTGATGGAATATTATCTAGGTCTTGTGCACACAGAGTTTTAGTACACAGTGATGGAATATTATCTAGGTCTTGTGCACACAGAGTTTTAGTACACAGTGATGGAATATTATCTAGGTCTTGTGCACACAGAGTTTTAGCACACAGTGATGGAATATTATCTAGGTCTTGTGCACACAGCGTTTTAGCACACAGTGATGGAATATTATCTAGGTCTTGTGCACACAGAGTTTTAGCACACAGTGATGGAATATTATCTAGGTCTTGTGCACACAGAGTTTTAGCACACAGTGATGGAATATTATCTAGGTCTTGTGCACACAGAGTTTTAGCACACAGTGATGGAATATTATCTAGGTCTTGTGCACACAAATTTTTAGCACACAGTGATGGAATATTATCTAGGTCTTGTGCACACAGAGTTTTAGCACACAGTGATGGAATATTATCTAGGTCTTGTGCACACAGAGTTTTAGCACACAGTGATGGAATATTATCTAGGTCTTGTGCACACAGAGTTTTAGTACACAGTGATGGAATATTATCTAGGTCTTGTGCACACAGAGTTTTAGCACACAGTGATGGAATATTATCTAGGTCTTGTGCACACAGAGTTTTAGCACACAGTGATGGAATATTATCTAGGCCTTGTGCACACAGAGTTTTAGCACACAGTGATGGAATATTATCTAGGTCTTGTGCACACAGAGTTTTAGCACACAGTGATGGAATATTATCTAGGTCTTGTGCACACAGAGTTTTAGCACACAGTGATGGAATATTATCTAGGTCTTGTGCACACAGAGTTTTAGCACACAGTGATGGAATATTATCTAGGTCTTGTGCACACAGAGTTTTAGCACACAGTGATGGAATATTATCTAGGTCTTGTGCACACAGAGTTTTAGCACACAGTGATGGAATATTATCTAGGTCTTGTGCACACAGAGTTTTAGCACACAGTGATGGAATATTATCTAGGTCTTGTGCACACAGAGTTTTAGCACACAGTGATGGAATATTATCTAGGTCTTGTGCACACAGAGTTTTAGCACACAGTGATGGAATATTATCTAGGTCTTGTGCACACAGAGTTTTAGCACACAGTGATGGAATATTATCTAGGTCTTGTGCACACAGAGTTTTAGCACACAGTGATGGAATATTATCTAGGTCTTGTGCACACAGAGTTTTAGCACACAGTGATGGAATATTATCTAGGTCTTGTGCACACAAATTTTTAGCACACAGTGATGGAATATTATCTAGGTCTTGTGCACACAGAGTTTTAGCACACAGTGATGGAATATTATCTAGGTCTTGTGCACACAGAGTTTTAGCACACAGTGATGGAATATTATCTAGGTCTTGTGCACACAGAGTTTTAGCACACAGTGATGGAATATTATCTAGGTCTTGTGCACACAGAGTTTTAGCTCACAGTGATGGAATATTATCTAGGTCTTGTGCACACAGAGTTTTAGCACACAGTGATGGAATATTATCTAGGCCTTGTGCACACAGAGTTTTAGCACACAGTGATGGAATATTATCTAGGTCTTGTGCACACAGAGTTTTAGCACACAGTGATGGAATATTATCTAGGTCTTGTGCACACAGAGTTTTAGCACACAGTGATGGAATATTATCTAGGTCTTGTGCACACCAAGTTTTAGCACACAGTGATGGAATATTATCTAGGTCTTGTGCACACAGAGTTTTAGCACACAGTGATGGAATATTATCTAGGTCTTGTGCACACAGAGTTTTAGCACACAGTGATGGAATATTATCTAGGTCTTGTGCACACAGAGTTTTAGCACACAGTGATGGAATATTATCTAGGTCTTGTGCACACCAAGTTTTAGTACACAGTGATGGAATATTATCTAGGTCTTGTGCACACCAAGTTTTAGTACACAGTGATGGAATATTATCTAGGTCTTGTGCACACAGAGTTTTAGCACACAGTGATGGAATATTATCTAGCTCTTGTGCACACAAATTTTTAGCACACAGTGATGGAATATTATCTAGGTCTTGTGCACACAGAGTTTTAGCACACAGTGATGGAATATTATCTAGGTCTTGTGCACACAGAGTTTTAGCACACAGTGATGGAATATTATCTAGGTCTTGTGCACACAAAGCTTTAGCACACAGTGATGGAATATTATCTAGGTCTTGTGCACACCAAGTTTTAGTACACAGTGATGGAATATTATCTAGGTCTTGTGCACACCAAGTTTTAGTACACAGTGATGGAATATTATCTAGGTCTTGTGCACACAGAGTTTTAGCACACAGTGATGGAATATTATCTAGCTCTTGTGCACACAAATTTTTAGCACACAGTGATGGAATATTATCTAGGTCTTGTGCACACAGAGTTTTAGCACACAGTGATGGAATATTATCTAGGTCTTGGGCACACCAAGGTTTAGCACACAGTGATGGAATATTATCTAGGTCTTGTGCACACATAGTTTTAGCACACAGTGATGGAATATTATCTAGGTCTTGTGCACACAGAGTTTTAGCACACAGTGATGGAATATTATCTAGGTCTTGTGCACACAGAGTTTTAGCACACAGTGATGGAATATTATCTAGGTCTTGTGCACACAGAATTTTAGCACACAGTGATGGAATATTATCAAGGTCTACTGACAAGAAATCAAACCTAGAAATGAGAGAATCAAGATCAGCTTTTTTGATGTTTAGCTGTCAACATGGTCAAATAGTACAAAACACAAGTACATTTTATCATTTATATTAAATAAGCACTTGAATGTGAAATTGTCACCAAAGTGGTTAACGTCTGACACCTGCATCACTTCGGCCTTGGACTACTGTTAAAAGCGGCGTTAAACCCCACTCACTCACTCACTCACTCACTCACTCACTCACTCACTCACTCACTCACTCACTCACTCACTCACTCACTCACTCACTCACTCACTCACTCACTCACTCACTCACTCACTCACTCACTCACTCACTCACTCAGATGTAATGTTGCAGGTTTCCAGAAAAAAGGCTGTCCTAGTAGTTGTAAGGTGTTGCAGTTCTCTGTGCTGAGTTACGCCACTGTATAACTGAAATTATATGTGGTGTTTTTCACTCCCACTCACTCACTCACTCACTCACTCACTCACTCACTCACTCCAGAAAATAATCTAGTGAGCTACAGCGCCGCATTGCACAAAATGTCTCAACTGAGATTCACTGGCCTCCTGACCCGTGAAGATTCCGGGGTAGAAAAGGTCTTCAGCAACCCATGCTTGCCGTAAAAGGCGACTATGCTTGTCGTAAGACGCGACTAACGGAATCTGGTGGTCATGCTCGCTGACTCGGTTGATGCATGTCATCGGTCCCAATTGCAAGGATCGATGCTCATGATATTAATCACTGGATTGTATGGTCCAGACACGATTATTTACCGAGTGCCGTCATATAGCTGGAATATTGCTGAGTGAGGCGTTAAACAACCAACCAACCAACCAACCAACCAACCAACCAACCAGCCACTGACCTCATACAAATATGTATTCTAACTACAGCCTTTATTCTGCTGCTGTGGGTAGAGTAAACAACCAAGAGACTGGTTCTATTTATTTGCTGTTGTTACAGACCGGCGACGCCCTACAGGCCACACCCGAGATGACAGCCAGTGAGAAGAAAGTCAAGTTTAACATGAAGAAGAATACCGCCCAGAGTGAGTGGTTGCTATGGTTACACGGACGTGATTGAGGTGCTGTGGTTAATGCGTGTCATCATACCCTAACAGCTTGGATCGTTTCTCATAATATCAATCGCTGGATTGTCTGGTCCAGACTCAATTATTTACAGGCTGCTGAGTGCTGCGTTCAGCAACAACACACTTTTCCTCCCACACTACGGGTCCAGGGTCTCAGGGTAACTCTCGATCGGTTTTCCATCAGCATATCGAGTTGTACACAGATTTCTGTTGATGTTTGTGTATCATCTCCTGACCATATCTTAGTGTACCCTGGATTTGGTACTTATTTAGCAGCATGTGACGTTTACAGCATCAGTCTGCTTTTTTGCATAGGGGGAGATAACTGTACGCACAAAAGCCAATGTTGTTCCCAGTGTAGGCCCGTGATGATCCTTGTTAGAAAACTAGAAGACTTCAGCAACTCATGCTTGCTGTAAAAGGTGACTATGCTTGTCACACGAGGCGACTTGCGAGATCGGGTGGTCAGGCTCGCTGACTTGGTTGATTCTTGTCATTGCATCCCTATTGCATGGATCGATGCTCATAATGTCAATCATTGGATTGTCTGGTCCATACTTGATTATTTACAGACCGCCATCATATAGCTGAAATAATGCTGAGTGCGGCATTAAACAACAAACACACAAACAAACACAGTGGTAAACTGGTAGATCAACCGAATAATGAATCATGGATTGTCATACTTTGACGTCATATCAAACCTCTTTGAAATCTTTGGAATCTTGGTATACCATTTAAAGGCACAGAAAGTTCTTCTTGGGGAATTCTATTGGGTACGGGAGCGGCCATGTTGTTTAATGCTGTAAATACATTTACGACTTTCAGTGTCTTAAGTGTAAAAATTACTGCTAACAGCTTCAATTTCTAACAGATGCAATTTCATTTCATACTCAAGCGATATCTCCTGTGGGAGCCAGTTTTGGATGATAAATGAGTTTAACCTTTTGTATGTACCAGCAGAGTTTGACAGATGAGTTTATCCTTTTGTATGTACCAGCAGAGTTTGAATGATGAGTTTCATCTTTTGTATGTACTTGCAGAGTTTGACAGATGAGTTTAACCTTTTGTATGTACATGTACTTGCAGAGTTTGACAGATGAGTTTATCATTTTGTATGTACTTGCAGAGTTGAACGTTGAGTTTATCCTTTTGTATGTACCAGCAGAGTTTGACAGATGAGTTTATCCTTTTGTATGTACTTGCAGAGTTTGAACGATACGTTTAACCTTTTCTATGTACCAGCAGAGTTTGAACGTTGAGTTTATCCTTTTGTATGTACCAGCAGAGTTTGACAAATGAGTTAATCCTTTTGTATGTACCAGCAGAGTTTGAACGATGAGTTTATCCTTTTGTATGTATTGCAGTGTCTGAACGATGAGTTTAACCTTTTGTATGTACCAGCAGAGTTTGAACGATGAGTTTATCCTTTTGTATGTACTTGCAGTGTCTGACAGATGAGTTTATCCTTTTGTATGTACTTGCAGAGTTCGAGGACAGTATAACGGTCAGTCCAATGCCAGCCTTCAACCCTAAGATGACCCCGACGCAGGGCATCCTCAAGTCTCCCGCGTCCTCTGATATGGCTTCAGCACAGAAGTCCGGCAAGAAGAAGAAGAAGAAGAAGTCGATGGGTGGTAACGCTGACAAAAACACTCCAGTGACACGCACGACTGAAAAAACTCCTGGTTCAAACAAGAAGACACTCACACGATCTCGGGCAGCAGATTTCTTCTGAGTTGTGTCACCATGAATGTTGTACTGATATTCAATAGCAACACAAGAGGCCTATGCGCTATACGCCAAGGATGCCGACAATATCGACTCCACACCAGCCTCCGTAACACCGAGGTCTGCTGCAACTACAACTACAAGTGTCCTGGTTGCCAAGGTTGTTGTTATGGTAACAGGTGTGATTGTCCTGGAAGCAGGAGTGTCCTGTTATACTTTGTGACCACTCACTCACTCACTCACTCACTCATGTAACAGATCGTGTACAGTGGTACTATAGACGGGAACAGGGATACACTGAGTTAACGCAAGTTCACTGGCAGCTGTCTATAGCTGGGTGGGGTGGGGTGGGGCTCAATTGGATGGGGGGTTGTTTAGAGAGTGGGGATCTTTTTTTTGGAGGGGGGTAAAGAGTGGGGTGGCAGTCTTCACATTTTGTGGGTGGGGGTGGTGTTAAGAGAGTGCGGTAGCATCCTTCACATATTTTGGGGTTGGGAGTGGGATAGCCATGCAGTTAACACATGGTTAAAGTGAGTGAGTGAGTGAGTTGGGTTTAGCGCTGTTTTTAGCAATATTTCAGTTATATCACAGTGTGTCAGCTTAATGTGGGAGGAAAGCCCGAAGTGAAGCAGGTCTCAGAAGTTTACCACTTCGGTGAAACCCACAAGCACAGGTATGGTGCTGACAAACCTAAGAACTTAACGGGGCGAACCAGGATTCGTATCTACAATCATAGGTTTCTGGCGTAGCCAAGGGATACAACTCTGTACAGCGAATTGCGGCGCCTTAGACGGCCACCTGTGTCCCCTTGTAGCTAAAGAATTAGAGAAAAACCATCGAGCTACGAGGAAGCACGGATTGCCTGACCCGGGTTAATGAATGGAGGTACAGGTCCCCCCTGTAATTCGGAGTATCGAGTAGGTTATTGAGAGAGATAATGAAGAAAAAATGTCAACCCTACAGAAAAACTTCACTAAAGGCAGCCTATTGTTCAGATGACATTTAATGTATTTAATTTGTGACGTCAAGAACAATGGCTGAAGTAACATTTTTTATTCAACGATGACGCACGATGACATCACATGACTTCAACTGACCAATCAGCATTTAGAATCAATAAAATGCCAATACCAGAATGTTATTCTGCATGGTCATTCTACCTTTAAGGGTTCCGTATTCGACGTAATAAGCTCCCAGGGCGCTCTTAAAATTAGAAATAGGAGGCTCTTGTTAGAATACTATTTTGGTAAGAAAAAAAAACAGAGTTGAAAGATCGTAAATTTCGTGGTTTATGCTGACAGCCTGAAATGATACAAAGAAAAGTCTGTGTGTATTATACACGACAAATCTATTTTCAAGAATTTAAATGCCCATAATTGAGGGTGCATATAACACACAAGTGCATATCATACACGAATAAATAAGTCTTGTGTACATTGATCAATCAGAAGGGATGCTAATTGGGATTGTACACTAGCCAATATATTAGCAAATATCGCCGTGGGCGCTTTTTAGAGCAGGGTACTTATTACGTCGAATACGGTAATATAACACTCATAACGCCCGAGACTCCAGTTGGTTGCCCACATAGGTGCAAAGTAGGAAGCCAGTCTCTCTCTCTCTCACTCACTCACTCACTCACTCACTCACTCACTCACTCACTCACCTGGCTAGGACTCGGGTAACCACAATTTGGTAAGTAGAGTTGCTTCCCTTAGCATTGCAAGGATAGGCTTATTGTGGGTTCTATTCGCAGATTTGCCCAGATTATGGTCCTTGGTTTGTCAGAATCATACCCATGGATGTGGTAAATGTCAAAAGACCTGCCTCACTTCAGGCTGTCCGACCACATGAAGCTGACATGCCGTGATATAGCGGCAATACTGCTCAAAGCAATGTTTGATTACCTGAGTGAATGTTGGTCTGAACACGCGATGTTATAATTGTACAGTTTATGATTTGTATATAGGTTTCCATGGTGATGACACAGCACTGCAGTCAGGGTTTGCCACATATTTCTTCATAGTGTGTTACCATGGTTACAGGAGCCAGCTGCCTTTGCAATTTTGTTGAGATTCTGTAGGAAGAAACTGATGTCCAGATTTCGTTGGATAAAATTGAGATTTCTCGAATTGCGAATTTGATTGAGGATTTTCAGGAAATCTTGATTTCAAGTAATAATTTCAAGTAATGATTACAAGCCAAAACAACATGTCTCCTCTACCCTAGATGAATTGATGTGTCCAGATAACACTGAATGATAATGAGGTGTCCAGATTATGTTGAATTATAGTGAGGTGTCCTGATGTCATTGGAGGAAACCTAGCAGTAGCCTAGTGGTTAGAGCGTTCGCTCGTCATGCCGAAAACACGGGTTCGATTCCCGACATGGGTACAATGTGTGAAGCCCATTTCTGGTGTCCCCCGCCGTGATATTGCTGGAATATGACTAAAAGTGGCTTAAACCATACTCATTCACTCAAGTTTATCTAATGGAATTTCTTTTGGAATAATCAACATGTCCCAATAGTCAAGTCTTCCAATTTCATTGGGGAAAAAATTGAGGCCTACAGATTACGTTGGATGGGATTCAGAATGTTTAAAATCAGTGGGGGGAGTATGAGCGATGTCCTATTTATGCAGTTTCAGCAGCTTTTGTCCTGTTCAACTCTTGATAAGGATAATCACTCATATCATATATAGAGATATTATATGAGTGTTCATGTCATACTATGTTTACGACACGAGTGTCGAAATACCGGAATTTAGGCGCAAGTTTCAGAAACATAGTATGACATGGACACGAATATGCCAGCAATGTTCTATTTATTACCGAAGACACACAGAGACGAATTGTAGAGTTTACCTTTAACGACAGTAAGTCACAATAGCAGCTGAACCACAATTTGTCGAATGACGTCAACAATCTTAAGCTATGACACCGTTTCTAGTGTGACGTCATACCGACATTGCGTCACAATAAGATTCGAATGACGTCAACAATGTCGTCCGGATGACGGAAACAATACACTGTTGTCTCATGATAAGGAAGATATGATTTGTATTAACCCCGATATGTTTGCCCCGTAGGTTATAAATGAATAAAATATGTTATCCGTGCCCAATATGATAACATCTATGGAGGTTATTCTTTCAATCTTGAATCCTTCATTACATTATACACTTGGCATATAAGGGTTTGTTTTGTTCGTCATGGGAAGATAAAAATGTCCCTATCAAAAATGGAGTAGTATACATTGATGGAGTATGGAACATGCTGATGAAACAGCACTGAAACATGTGTGGTCCCCCCAAATGAGTTTGTGTCAGAGGTGGCTTGGTCTTCCTGCTAGAAAGGCATTACTTAACTTTCCTGTCTGCAGTGCTGATGGTGGCTTATAGAAACGGGGTTCCAGGGTGTGGGTCAACCTCGTGTTGGTATCAATGAACGCCCAGTCTTTCAGGTTCAGGAGTGTTTCTTGTGGAGTATTGCTCACACAGAAGTGCCTACCGTTATGATTTGGCTGTAGTCATTGTGAGTTTTATCCAAACATTATGGTTTTATGATGATGTAACTACATGTATTACAAAAAATATACCGTATTCGACGTAATAAGTGCCCCGCTCTAATAAGCGCCCACGGCGACATTTGCTAAGATATTGGCTAGTGAACAATCCCAATTAGCACCCCTTCCGATTGATCAATGTACACAGGACATTTATTTGCGTATAATATGCACTCGTGTGTTATATGCACCCTTAATTATAGGCAGTTAAATTCTGGAGAAATATATCTGTCGTACATAAACATTTCAGGCTGTCAACATAAACCACGAAATTTATCTTTCAACTCTGTTGGGTTTTTTCCACCAAAATATTAATCTAATAAGAGCCCCCTATTTCTAATTTTGAGAGCGCCCTGGGCGCTTATTACGTCGAATATGGTAAATCATATTTTTTTTAAAACAGACCTTTCGTAGTTACTTGATGCATTGCATGTAATTTGTTGAAGATTAACGTGGCATTCTGTCCAGACGTACACTGTAAGGAGCTCTGAATTAATATTACTTTAAGAAATATATTCGGTAATCTTATTTCTTTCAAATAGCTGTTGAGTGAGTATGTGAAAATATGTGTACAATTTTTACGAATGTAAAAGACATGCACACTTGGTACAATAAAAAATAGCTCCCAGTGGCTGACGGTGATAGAAACTTGAAACGAAAGAAACTAACCTCACCGGGTTGCTATGGTGATTACTGACAATAAATAAACAGTGAAAATGACTGCCTACTTTATCCAGATATTACTGAAAGGGAATAAATAGGCTGGGCACCTGTGCTCATGTTATCAGCCACTGGATTGCTGGTCCGGACTTGACGATTTACAGCATGTTGTGGGGTGGTCGGGTAGCCTAGTGGTTTAAGCGTTCGCTCGTCACACCAAAGACCCAGGTTCGATTTCCGACATGGGTACATTGTGTGAAGCCTGTTTCTGGTGTCCCCCGCCTTGATATTGCTGGAATATTGCTAAAAGTGGCGTAAAACCATACTCCCTCACTTCAGGATGTTGTGATATTGCTGAAATATTTCTGAGTCTTAACCTGTCCCTCACTTCACCCTTGGGACAGGATTCTATACTACACTACACTTGATAAGGATATATATTTTCTTTTCCATGATACCCCAAAATGATTTTCATGTCAAGAATATATTTAAATATTTGGCATTGTTGTCCTCATAGGTTCAGTATTATATACTACTCAAAAGAAGTTAAGGAAACCCAATTTTTGCATAAAACTATAAACTACTTTTATAACAAACACGCTTATAATGAACTGATGGATAGTAGCGTCCTTTTGCTGTATATATGCTTATGATGAACTACGGTTTTAAGAAACAAAAATTAGTGGTCCCTTTGAGTTCGTTATTACCATAGGTTACTGTAGTTATTCGATCATGTTATGACAGATTAACTGTAATCATATGAAAGTATCGGGGTTCTTTAACTCCTTGTGAGTAGTCTGTTTTATTTTGGGTTTATTCAAGAGGACCAGACCAGTGAGTTGTGATATTGTTGTGTTGTCGCACCCTGTTTGTGAGTGGACGAATGGCGCTGTGTGACAGTCTACAGTTTTACATCACATCAGTCTGGACCAGTCATCCTGGTGGCTCAGTCACTGGGGTAGCGGGGGGCACGGGGGGCCCAGTTGTCTAAGGCGCTGTGCAGAGTTGCGTCCCTTGGGCACGCCAGAAACCTACGATTGTGGGTTCGAATCCCGGTTAGCCCCGATTATGTTTCTAGGTTTGTCAGCACCATACCCATGCTCGTGGGTTTCACCAAAGTGGTAAACGTCTGAGACCTGCATCACTTTGGGCTTTCCTCCCACATTAAGCTGACACGCCGCGATATAACTGGAATACTGTTAAAAGCGGCGTTAAACCCCAACTCACTCACTCGCTGGTGTAGCTCTGATTTACTTGCAATCTGAAGTGGTGTATACTACTCAAAAGATGTTAGACAGATTAACCACAGTAATTTGAAGAATCAGGTGTTCCTTAACTTCTTTTGAGTAGTATATTAGGAAAAGACCTACCCTTGCTTGACCGGATGACATTCTTGAACCATGGTGTACATTGTAGAAGTTGAAGACATTTGAATAAACAATGAGTATTGTTTCTGCATTCTGTGTTCTTGATGTTTGATGCTCATGATATCAATCAGTGGCTGTGTCAAGATTTACAGTAATTTGTCTTCTTAGATTTTTATTTACATCCACTTGTCAGTACGAACACATGGCTGACCAACATGAGGATTGGATGGTTAACATTACTATATTCTCATATCATACATTTATATACCACAGGTATCGAGGTACTAATGCGGGTATTTAAAAGCGGTCTTATTTGTTCCCTGGCCAGTGCATCCATTTGCATTCCAGTTATCATTCTCAACTCCCTGGGGAGTATACAACCCAACCTGTTAGTTTTTATATCCGCTTCACATACCGGGTACCCATTCCCTCCTGGGTGAACAGAGGCACATTTGAACTAAGTCACTTGTCCAGGGTGACCCCACACGTTGTGACACTTGTGTTTCGGGTGTATGTACGTATCCGTGTTTCCACCATCTTGTCATCTACCGTTGGACGAGTGGGTTCTTTTGAGTGCACAGGGTGAATGTTCTGTACACTAGGAGTAGTCACAACACCTTAAAGACCTGTAAATATTGTTGGTCCCAAGGCTGAATAACAACCTGGTCACATGCGGGAACGATCTCAGGACCTGGTGCTTGCTAACCTGGCGCTTTTGACCGCTTGCCCTCACCGCCCCTAATGAGAGACCTGACCACACCCAACTTTATTACAGGCTGCTGTCGCATAGGTCTTCTTATTCAAATATTGTCAATCTTTTTATTATCAATGTCATTAACAAGGACAGTCCTATTACATATCCTTCAGTCTTGTGATATACAAGCCCTTCCAGACCCGTGAAGATCCGTGGTAGAATAGATCTTCAGCAACCCATGCTTGATGTAAAAGGCGACTATGCTTGTCATAAATGGCGACTAACTGGATCGGGTGGTCAGACTCGCTGACTTGGTTGATGCATGTCATCATATCCCAATTGCATGGATCGATGCTCATGATGTCAATCACTGGATTGTCCAGACTTGATTACTTACAGACCGCCGTCCTATAGCTGGAATATTGCTGAGTGCGGCGGTAAACAACAAACCAACCAACCAAGTTCAGTCGTCGAATGAGCCCCAACAGTCTCTCTGTCTCTCTCTCTCCTCTCATTCACGAGGAGCTGGGGATCACACGCAGATAAATAACAACAGCAAAGGGTTGATGGTTTGAAACATTTATGCATTTTCTTTATACATGCATGGGAGCCGTGAGCGTCGAGAGGCCACCCACAACTTCATATACAGCAGTCAAGCAGGATAGGTGGCAGGGACATCAGCCCTTCACACAGTACCCTCAGTGAACACTGGAGATAACTAGACATACACCACACTGGCAATATACACATTTATACACCACTTATAGTGGCAAAGGTTTGCATAACAGTGGTTAGTGAATATGAAAAACCAATTCCACAAACTGCCACATATGGACCTAAAACGGAACATATTTAGCACTTGGTGCCCAATTTCATTTCTTTGGAATACCTGAAGGCCATTTCACATATTGTGACAATATTTGATTGTAGTATCCATGGTGACAGGATGTGGAATATGACCAGAATCCGCAAGCTCCTCACAGTGATACCCCGGAGCTCTCTATACTATCACTGCCACCAGTCAAACCTCCCCACTGTGATGCGTGGCCACAACCATGCATGGAGTTGAATTCACAGCCGAATGACCGTTATGTTTACAACCAAGTGATAATGCCGTGACGTGGATACTCTTACGCTTGCTATATTATTTTCTTTGTTTATCAATCTGAATTTGCGTTTCATGACAACTATCATGTAATTGATATTGTTAGACTGTAAGGGGGAAGTTGGTTGATTTTCCATTTGTCTGCAATTGTGAACCAATCTGATCAAACAAACAAAATGGTAAATTCATCTGCAAATTATGGTCAGTCATAAACCTTTTCAAAATTCACTATGATATGGGATTAGAGGGCAAATTTCAAGATTCTTGTAATGGGCGTGCCCCTACTGGTGACAGCGATGTTACCGAGAGCGTAACGAAGGTGTCAAGCGCTGGGAGGGAGCTTGAAGAATCAGGTCCTGTGATTGGAGGGGGTGGGTGATGCTGGATGTACAGGGCATGAGACAGGTCATGAGAACACTGCAAGCAGGGCAACCAAGCGGCATTGTATTAAGTACAGCTTCAAGAACTCATATAAACACCAAAGGCCAACAAAAATTGATTGCTACATTATCACCCTGTCCTCTCACCTTCATATTTCATTATAACAGAACTGTTACAAAAACAATAGTGTCAGGGAACTGTAGCTCACCTGGATATGTACGCAACAGTTTTAAAAAACAAAGGCAGTCTGAACCTAATTCTGCTGTCTGCATTGATTTTCATCTATTCTCTGTATAAATACTAAACACTAGAACTAAAGTCTAATGAATTGACCAAAATGTCATCTAAAGGGGAAACATACATGACAAAGTCTTACAATTTCATAGGAGTGAGTGAGTGAGTGAGGTTTTACGCCGCTTTAAGCAATATTCCAGCAATATCACGGCGGGGGACACCAGAAATGGGCTTCACACATTGTACCCATGTCGGGAATCGAACCCGGGTCTTCGGCATTACAGTAGGCTACCCGACCGCCCCTTTCATAGAAGTTTTACAGCACATGGAGAGATTTAACAGCATGACTCACAGATAGCTAACTAGATAATAACTTTAATCACATATTGAACAATGACTGAGTAATGGTCATAAATATCTTTTTCAAAATGGCTGCCATGGTGGCCATATTGAAAAACTGATTCCAACCTCTTCAACAGATTCAGTGCCATCATTGTTGGGAATAAACATGTGAAGTGTCAGCTTCATTGGTCTTGTGGATTCTGAGGAGGAGAATTTTACAGAAGACAAGCAGACCAGCAGACAACGACATACGCTCACTTTCAATCGTGACCTTGAAAGATGATGTTTTTAAAAATAAAACCCCCTCCTCCTTCACTACATTGATAAATTTGGATCATAATGTAATAATTAATTTCTTGTGGCCAGAGATTAGTGTTGGTGAAAAATATAGTTTGGCTGGAAATACATTCCCCACCCCTCACTCAGCCTGTCCTACACCGTCACTGTGACTTTACCAAGCCACTTTACATTTACCCTTATAGTTCAGGAGGGACAGTGTTCCTGGAACTGCCAGCCAAACCAAGGCCAAGTGCCCTTCAAATGTAGTAATGCAATATTTTACAAATTGGTGTGAGTTGATTATGAAATCGAGGCCCTGTTAAAAAATAACTCAATCTTGGGACATTCATCTTCCAGCCAAACTATTTTTGACATACATGAACAATTTGAAATGTATCCAAGACAATGACAAGGAGTCAGCAGCCTCCATGAATGATGATAGCTTATGTACAGGGAAGTGAGGACAGCAAGTAACAAACATTGTACACAGGGTATAAACAGTTGTATATGTACAGGAGAGGGTACTGCATGGAGGGGGATATGAGCCATACCGCCCGGTAGAAAGTATGTATATATAACAGTGGACATATCTTAGAAAAAAACAACAATATACATAGCACTGTCAAAACAGTCATACAATAAGAATTGGATCAGCTTGTGAGCCAGCATATAAACAACAATAACAGACTCAATGGTCATGAATACCAATGGAAAAAAAACAAATCCTATGAAAATATGACCTTAACAGATCACCATACATTAGGTATGGCAGGGGGATACAAACATCAAGCCGTCACAATAAAAGTTAAAGTTGCGATAAAAAAATTACAAAATATACTTTAGCTAAGAGGGCATGCCTTGTGTGTAACATATGTTCTAAGTCAACCGTATAAAACATACACACTCCCAATTGTCCTGACTAACTTACTGGTTTCAATGGTCCCAGGCTCAAACCTGAATTGATTCAGCCAGATTCCACCTTATTCAGTAATTGCTGGGGCAGCGAAAAAGGTCAAGGTCGTAAACACTCGATCAAGGTCATCAGCACAAAGTCCAGTGTCATAAGCACAAGGTTAAGGTCATAAGCACTAGGTCATGGTTTCCATGCAATGTCAAAGCCAAATTTTCCAAAGCTTTGACGAATGGAGCATAAAAAGGAGCATGTACTGCCTCCATGAAGTCATGACAGAAATCAGAGTATCCATGGTATCAGCAATGGGAAAAACACTGCACAATAGCAAAACAATAGGAAAAAGATTGTAACTTTGTATGACAGTTATAACCATAGAGTTTTAAGTTTGGGCCTGACAGCAGCCTTCAGCACCAGATCCGACAAAGTTCAGGGTCCAAGACATGAATATACAGTTTAATATGGCAATTAACACTAGCCCACTGCCAGTACAGATGCAAGGTGCTAGTAAATCGGTTGTGCTTCACACAACTGTGAACAGTATTTCACATATACTACTCAAAACAAGTCAAAGAACACCCACAAATGGAAGGTTGTGTGCACCCACCAGCCATGACAGACTAACTATAGTCATAAGAAAACATTGGGCTGTCTTTAACTTCTTTTTGAGTAATATACATGGTGTTTCAGTTTGTGTTAGGAGGAAAGACAGAGTGATGCAGTTCTTCGACGTTTACCACTCTGGTGAAACCCACAACACGGGTATGGTACAGAAAACACCGTGACAATCAAGGTGGATCTAGGATTCGAACCCATGATCACAGGTTCACGGCATGCCTGAGGGAGGAATTGCAGCACACTGCAGCACCTTAGGTGACTGGGCTACCCTTGGCCCTCAAACCAGGGCCACCCCTTGCCCTCAAACCAGGGCCACCCCTGGCCCTTAAACCTGGGCCACCCTTGGCCCTCAAACCAGGGTCAACCCTGCCCTTAAACCTGGGCCACCCTTGGCCCTCAAACCAGGCCACCCCTGGCCCTTAAACCTGGGCCACCCCTGGCCCTCAAACCAGGGCCACCCCTGGCCCTTAAACCAGGGCCTGTAGAGTGTGGAGGACACTGCCGATGTGAGTGCAAATAATACTTTGGTTAACATGTACAAGGAAGAAGATATCGCATTGGCCTATAATGATAGACTCAACTACTTATTTCACACTTAGATGTTTAGTATTTCCCATTAATATACACATGTAATATATAGTATATTCCAAGGAAAATATAGTTTCATGCAAAGTTTTTAAGTTTGCAAATGAGGGCCTTGTACTGATTACCTACCTCGTTAAGATAACCTTGAACCTGTGTTGCTGCTTGTAACAGAGACTGAGGACATCTCATAGTTCAGTTTAAGAACAAAATGTCCAGTCGAATGGTAGGAATTTGTCATTTTTCAAAGGTGAACAACAGCAAATAAAAACCTTATCTGACAATATTTATGTCATCTGGAACGTCAGTCTTGATCCCAAAGCTAGTTTCCTTCCGCAACACAGAATTCAGGGCCTCCTTCCACTGTTGAAATTCTATCGTCGACTTACGATAGTCGCAGCACTCGTATCATCTTATAGCGCATGACCCAGTAGTTAATAAGTGTCAATTAACAAATGCAAAATACAAATAATTCCTGTGTGAA